TCGATGTAAACTGTGAACACATAAAGTGGGAGGTACAGAACTGCATGGCGCAGAGCTTTAAACACTACTGAAGCTAAGCTGATGTTAACTTAAACTAGATTGTCATAAATTTACTACATTAATTGTAATGTCCACAGTAAGCACTAAGAAAATAACTTTCAAATACACAGAATAGGAAATGAGAAGGGAGTCAAAATGGCATACTAAAGAATTAAGCACAAAAGCACTGATGCAGGATTATGGAACAAAAAAGAAGTAAGATGCACATATAGCAAACAACAAAACGGTAAAAGGCCTTCTTTTTTCACTAATTACTTTAAACATAAATACATGAAATGCTCCAATTAAAGACAAAGACTGGGAGAATAGATTTAAAAAGTACATGACCCATTTATTTATTTTTTAAAAATATTTATTTATTTTTGAATGTTATGTTTATTTATTTATGTATTCGTGAACCGTGCGATCATGACCTGAGCCAAAGTCGATCCATTTAAATGCTGTCTATAAGAGATTCACCTTAGATCTAAAGGCACAAAGGAGTTAAAAGTGAAAGGACAGAAAAATATATTCCATTCAACTAGAAACCAAAAGGGTTTCTAGGGGTGGTTGGTTATACTGATACAGGCTGTAAGTCAAAAAATTTTATTAGAAACAAAGAATGTTCTATATTGATAAAAGGTCAGTCAAGAGGACACAGCAATTATAAAACCATATACACCTAACAGGAGAGTCCCAAAATAAGTGAAGCAAAAACTGACAGAATAGAAGTGAAAAATAGTTCTACTAGAATAGTTGAAGACTTCAAAACCCCACTTTCAATAATGGATAGACCATCTAGACAGATGATCAGTAAGGAAACAGAAGACTTGAACAACATTATAAACCAAAAGACCTAACAGACATATACAGATGCCCTACCCCAAAACAACAGAATATCCTTAGACGTATTCCTAGAATATGCTTAGATACTCTTAAAGACACATTCCCAGAGATATGTGGAAATGGAAACACAACACACCAAAACTTGTGGGACACAACAAAAGCAGTGCTCGGAGAGAATTTGCAGCTATAGATGCCTATGTAAAAGAGATCTCAAATCACTAACCTAATTTCACATGTTAAGAAGCTAAAAAATTAAACACACAACTAGCAGAGGAAGGAAGTAATAAAGATCAGACCAGAAATAAATGAAATTGAAAGTAAAGAGAGAGAGAGAGAGAGAGAGAGAGAGAGAAAATCAGTGAAAACAAACATTGGTTCTTTGAAAAGATCAACAAAATTGGCAAACCTTCAGCTGGACCAATAAAAGAACTCAAATTACTAAAATCCAAAATGAAAGTGGGTACCTTACTACTGACCTTAACAGAAATGTAAAAGGAGTCTAAGAGAATACTACAAACAACTGTGTGCCAACCAATTAAACAACCTACATGAAAGGGACAAATTTCTAGAAACACACAAACTACCAAACCCAACCCAAGAAGAAATAAAAAAATATGAACAGACCTATAACAACTAAATAGATTGAATCAGTAATCAAAACCTTCCAACAAGGAAAAGCTCAGGACCAGATGGCTTCACTGACGAATTCTACCAAACATTTAGAGAATAACACCAATCCTTCCCACACTCTTCCAAAAAACAAAAAAAGGAAACACTTAACTCATTCTATGAGGTCAGCTCCACTCTGATCTCATAGCCAAAGACATCACAGGAAAGGAAAATCACACACCAACATCCCTTACAAACATATATGCAGAAATCTCCACAACAGGTTAATCTATACACAATCTATACACAAAAGGTAAATTAGTGGTGGCGCAGGGCTGGGGGAAGCAGGGTGTGGAGGATGATGACTGAAGGGTACCAGGTTCCTATCTGAAGTGATGATAATGTCCTAAAATTGACTGTGGGGGTGGCTGCACAGATCTGTGAATATACCAGGAACCACTCGACTGTATACTTTGATGGGTGAACTGTGTGGCATATGAATACATTTGTTATAAAAAATATTTGATTAACCCAAAAGAAGGCAGAAAAGGAGGGAAAGGAGGGGGAAAAAACAGAAGCAACTAATATAAAATTAATAGCAAGAAGACAGACTAAAAGCTATCATTAGTCACATTAAATGTAACTAATGCAAACATTCCAGTTAAAAGGTGAAGATGGTCAGATTGGATTCGCTGTCTATAAGAATCTACAGGGAGGGGGTACTGTTTAAAGGAGGTGCCCTTCAACAAATGGGTTAGAAGTTTAAAAAGATGGAAAAGATATACTATATTAACACTAGTCAAAATAAAGCCAGAGCAGTTAAATTAATATCAAACAATGCAGATTTCAGAGCAAAGAATATTAGCAAGATAGAGAGGGTTATTTCATAATGATGAAGGGTCAATTCTTCGTAACAACCCTAAACATTAACCGAGTTTCAAATTATTGGAAGCCCAAACTGACAAAACTAGAGACGAACAGACAAATGTAGAGAGGTGGATATTTCAATGCCCCCTCTCAATAATGGAAAGAACAAACAGACCCCAAATTGGCAAGTACACAGATTTAAACAAGACTCCTCAGCTTGACCTGATTCACATTTATGGAGAACTCCATCCAACACCATTGGCTACACAACCTTCTCAAGTACACGTGGGACATTTGCCAAGACAGGCCACAACCTGGGCCATAAAATAAATCTTACTAAATTTAAAGATTCAAGTCAAAGCATGTTCTCTTACTACAGAGGAATTACATTAGAAATCATTAATAAAAGATATATGGAAAATCCCTCAAATATTTGGAAACTAACATACTTCTAAATAAGCCATGAGTCAGTAAGTCAAAATAAGAAGGTGTTTTGAAACTGAAGAAAAAGGAAAGGAACATATCAAAATTTGTGTGATGTTTCTAAAGCAATAGTAAGAGAAAAATTTCTATTACTAAATGCCTATGTTAGAAAAGAAGAAAGGTCTCAAATCAGTGACCTCAGCTTCCACCTTAAGAATTACGTGGGGCACCTGGATGGCTCAATTGGTTAAGTGTATGACTTCAGCTCAGGTCATGATCTCACAGTTTGTGAGTTCGAGCCCCACGTCCAGCTCCATGCTGACAGCCCAGAGCCTGGAGCCTGCTTCAGATTCTGTGTCTTCTCTCTCTGACCCTCCCCTGCTCATGCTCTGTCTCTCAATTATAATAAACAAACATTAAAAAAAAAACCAACACAGAATTAGGAAATGAAGTCAGGTGCCTGGGTGGCTCAGTTGGTTAGGTAACCGACTTCGGCTCAGGTTATGATCTCACGGTTTGTGAGTTCGAGCCCTGTGTAGGGCTCTGTACTGACAGCTCAGAGCCTGGAGACCGTTTTGGATTCTGTGTCTTGCTCTCTGCCCCTCCCCTGCTCATGCTCTGTCTCTCTTTCCTTCAAAAGTAAAAAAAAAAAAAAAAAAAAAAAGAATTAGTAAGTGAACAAATTAAATCCTAAGTAAGCAGAAGAAAGAAAATAATACAGATCAGAGTGGAAATAGAAAACAGGCAAAATAGAAAAAAGAACTATATAGAAAATCAATGAAACCAAATGCTAGTTTTTTAAGATTAAAAAAAATTGGACAAAAATAAATCAAATGTCACAAGAAAAGAATTTTAAGAAGTAGAGGTGACCAATATTATTATCAATCACACTACAAATAAAAACACCCTAGTTTTTTGTTAGGCTGAATAAGTAAAGTATGCATGGTGGTCTCATACAAATCCTTACCAAAGAGTAAGAAATTCAGGTGTACTGGGTTCTTAACAGGGATAAACTTTAGGGGTGCCTGGATGGCTCAGTCAGTTGAAAAACCAATTCGATTTCAGCTCAGGTCATGATCCTAGGGTCATAGGATTGAGCCCTGCATCAGACGCTGTGCTAAGCACGGAGCCTGCTTGGGATTCTCTCTTCTCTCTCTCTGGCTCTCCCCTGCGTGCGCTCTCTCTCTCTCTCAAAAAAAAAAAAGAAGTTGGGGCGCCTGGGTGGCTCAGTCGGTTAAGCGTCCGACTTCGGCTCAGGTCACGATCTTGCGGTCCGTGAGTTCGAGCCCCGCGTTGGGCTCTGTGCTGACAGCTCAGAGCCTGGAGCCTGTTTCAGATTCTGTGTCTCCCTCTCTCTCTGACCCTCCCCCGTTCATGCTCTGTCTCTCTCTGTCTCAAAAATAAACGTTAAGAAAAAAAATTAAAAAAAAAAAAAAAAGAAAAAAAAAGAAGTGATAAACTTCATTTTTTAGGATTATTTTCACCAGAATTTGAACATGAAACTATTTTTTTTTAATTTTTTTAACGTTTATTTATTTTTGAGACAGAGAGAGACAAAGCATGAACGGGGGAGGGTCAGAGAGAGGGAGACACAGAATCTGAAACAGGCTCCAGGCTCTGAGCTGTCAGCACAGAGCCGACGCGGGGCTCGAACTCACGACCGTGAGATCATGACCCGAGCCGAAGTCGGCCGCTTAACCGACTGAGCCACCCAGGCGCCCCGAACATGAAACTATTATGAAAGTTAATAAAAGGAAACTTTATTTAGTAGAGTGGAGTTAGGAGATGGGCAGGGGGAGCTGTGGGCCCAGCACTAGATAGCAATCGCAGACCCAACAGGAGGAGAGGCACCTTGCAGGTGGATACTACTTACTCAGCAACAGGAAGGTTTCCTGCTGCTCCGGCAACAGCCCAGCCAATGAGAAGCCACCATACTTCCAGCTCCCAGTATAGTCCAATGGACATTCTGTTTACAACAGCCCCGCCCAACCTCCTGCCTCCTCTATAAAAGCCTCCCAGCCTTACTCTCCAGACTTGCCTGTAATTCTGGTGAGGTTTTCCTGTCCTAGGTTGGGATTCTCTGCTATTCTCAAATAACCCCATCTTTACCAGTAAAATAGTTGGCAGTGTTGTTTTAAGGTTAACAGTGTTTAAATACACAAGTCATAAGAAACCATTCCTTACAGTTGAATAATAAACTAAACAGGGTCACTAACCTCCTCGGGGTGAAGGAGAATCATGTCCTCCAATGACCACGCGGACACCAGAGTTTTCCAGTTTCACTTTCCATTTCTCAATGATAGTCATAGACTTGTCCTGAAAGCACAAGGACATTGGCAGTTCAGGAAGCTTCCCTCAAAACAGATGTGACTGTTCATGCTAGGGCTAAATCACCAACAGGAAGTTCATAAATACCTTACTAGCATCATTAAAAACCGAGAGCTCCATGGAGCCTTCAAAGTCCTGTTGCAAAACAGACTCCAAGCACTCGTCCAGCCACAGTTCAGCGTTGTAGACCGGGAGGATAATAGACTGCAATTCAAAAGAAGTGGATTAACAAATGTAAGTGTGAGGGCTAATAATGCCTTTCCTCCATTCCAGTTTACTTTCCTGTTAACCCCGAGCATTAGCCCCATGCTCATTTCCAAAGGGTGAGGCCCGACATACAGAATAATTGGGAATAAGGCTTCCAAAGAATTTGTCACCAAAACAGAAGGTGTCTGTTCCTTCTCTCCAAGCTCTAATGTTCTTTTGCTCCGTAAGATTTATTATGTCTTAGATTTCACTGAATTGTCTTTGGGATACTTTTGAAAAGGAAACAAAAATATTAAAGGCATAAAAGATTTTCACAGTTCAATGGCAAATTCATGTGTTCTCCAATCACTGGTCAGATACATCATTTCGGCATCTGTGTATTTTCTAATTCACTCATAAAAATAATCTATTGGTCCTTTTCTTGGTGGAGTAAGCATTTTCGGTGAACCATGACATTAGAGAAACTCCAGCAAAGAAACTCTTTTCAAGTGCCTGCACACAAGCTTTAACAAAGTATGGGGGTGGGTACTGGGAAAATGGGGGTGACCTCCATCTATCTCTCTCTCCTTTTGCTCTACTGAGTTTAGGACAGTTTGGTGCTGTCTTTCTCTCCTACAGCCCAAATCAAACAAAAATCTCTAAAGTGTATGGAGTAAAACAAGTGAAACCTGACTGCCAACAAAATAGCTGATTACTGGAATTATCTTAATTTTGTACGTTACGACATTAAGCAATATGAAATACCCAAAGACAGAAATTACAGTCTACCCTAGCCCTTGAGTTTATACCCTAATGAGGAGTGGACAAATTCCTACACAAGAAGACAGAACACGGTCATCCAGGTGTGTTTACACAGTGCATATGCATACACATACGCATGGGCACAAACGATATGCACATACATGAGTATTCAGTATCTACATGCAGTATAGACAGGATTACAAAAATACTAAATCTGAATACAGTTTTGAAAAACTCATAGATTGAAAAATATAATTCAGTCAAATTCTTTACTCTGAGGATCTGATTCAACAGCAAGAACCCTTCCTGAATCTGTTAGCCAAAAAGTGGTTACCTAATTTACTCACATATTTACTTTCCTTTTAGTGTTTATTATTTTTGTGAGTGATAGAGAGCAGGGTAGTGGCAGAGAGAGACACACACAGAATCGGAAGCAGGCTCCAGGCTCTGAGCTGTCAGCACAGAGCCCAACTAGGGGCTGGACTCACAAACCATATCATGACCTGAGCCCAAGTCAGAAGCTTAATCGACTGACCCACCCAGGCACCACATATTTACTTTTAAAGTAAGTATTATTCTTTAATGGAAAAGAAAAAAGAAAAGCATGTTTTTAATGTCCCCAAGATCTACAATAGAAAACAATGTGGATTTCCGTCAAAGATGGGTCTTGATTAAGTTCTGTTGGCACTCTTCTGCTGGAGGTTGCTTTGGGCAGAGACCCCCCCCCTAGGAAAGCTCCTGGCAAGTGGTGACCCTCATTAGGCGACGTGGGGGTGAGGAGAAGGGACAGGGAAGGAGGAAGAGAGAGAGCGGAGGCTGGAGGTAAGAGGAGGCGAAGGGGAGTCGGGGAGGGAGGGGACGGGAGGAGACGAGGGAACGAGGGGAGAGGACGAGAGGAGGGGAGGGGACGGAGAGAGGGGGGAGGGGACAAGAGGAGAGGCCGAGGTGGCCCCCGCGGCCCGGGCACCTACCACTTGGGGCGCCGCGGCGCGGTCCCCGTGGGCCTGCATGGCAGCGCGCTCCTTCAGCCGCCCCGCCCCTTGAGCCCGCAGCCACGCCCACGTTGGCTTACGGCGCGTGCGCGGGCGGCTCGCCCGGAATGCCCCACCCCCCCAGGCCTGCCGCCTCCGGTTGGCGTGGTAAGCCGGCGATCTAGCGGGGAGTGGAGAGGAGCGGCCTAGAGAGGCTGGAAGCACGGAGCGGGGGAGCAGCGCCCCCGCGCGCCCGGGGCGGGGAAGGGGGCGGGCCCGGGGAAGGGGAGGCCTGTGGGGAGGAGAGTGGGCGGGTCGGTGGCGGGTCGGAGGGGCGGGCCCGTTGGGAGGAGGAGGGCTCGGGGGGCAGGGGCCGACCTGGGGAGGGGAAGAGCTCGGGCCCAAGTGGAGCGGAGAGCTGAGGGAGGGCGGGAGGAGGGCAGGGAAGGGGGCAGGCCGGGGCGGGGGGGGGGGGGGGGGGGGGGGTCGGCGAGCCCTGGGGAGGGGGAGGGGCGGGAGATGGGCTCCTGGGGAGGGGGCGGGGCCGGCCGGGCGGTGATGTGTGCGGGTTCCTGGAGGCTGGGGCCTTGTGCTTTGGCGCTTGGGCGGCTCTTGTGTCCCCGTGTGTCCTCTCTCTGCCCTGTCCTTGGGCCCCCCAGCCCTCCTGCTCTCACCTGCGGGAATTAATCAGCTCTGGAGTCCTCAGTGAAATAAAATGTTATAAACATCCTTTGGTTGTGGAGAAGGTGGGGTTTGTGAGAAATCACGCTGTGCTGTTGGTTACAACTTAAAATCCAAACCAGATGACCTTTAACATCACCTTTTTTTAAAAGAAAGGAAGCACGTGACAAGTCATCTGATCGACCCGACGCAGGACCTGGAGAAGGCTGAGAGGGAGACGAGGACACCCGAGCCTTCCCCCAGGAGGAAGGGGCGTAGGGGCGGGGCCTCGGTGTGCCGCGGGCCTCCACCACCCCTCATTTCTGCCTCCCCAGCCGGACAAGGGTTGTCTGGGCTCAGCGCTCCTGTCCTAGAGCCCCTAACCCACGTGTGTCTCCTTGCAGCTCTGTGCAGCAGAGTCCCCGAGACCCTTACCCCACTGTTTGGCACCGAGTAGTGGTGTCCTGTCAGCGGTGTGACCGCTGGGAGCTTGCGCCCCTCCCGGTCGGACAGGCCCGTGAGGGCCCACTGAGTTCTGCCTGAAGCTCGTGGACCAGTGGCAGCACTCACTCACGTTAGGGTGATTATCCCCCACGTTGGTCCCAACCAATGTAAATTTATGACCGAGTTTATAGCTATCACTGCCGGCACAGATTTTCTCTTGCCCCAAACCAAGAATATTCCACAAACTAACAATTAAAACAAAGCCAAACTTATTCTTTAGATTTTTAAAGCATCACTTTAAATGTAATTTTTCCTTAACCTGCGTCAGTATTTGCACAGCCCTTATATGGGTTGAAACTCTTAGGTAAGATGGGTAAAAATGCAACCTTATTTACAGTGGCATATTAGGAATAGCTTATTTTAAACAAGTTGGTAGAAAGCCTCAGAGTAGTGGGGCGCCTGGGTGGCTCAGTAGGTTGAGTGTCTGAGTCTTGATCTCAGGATCATGAGTTCAAGTTCAGTGCTGGGCTCCACCCTGGATGTGAAGCCTACTTTAAAAAAAACAAACAAACAAAGCCTCCTAGTAGCTCTCGGAATACCTGCAGGCTTTAGAGCCACAACCCTCAGCAAGCAATGGGAGGAAGAGGTAAGAGGTCATACATGGTGTCCCGTGCCTCCACAGCACATGACATCGGAACTGGGCTTGGTTGCCCTGTCTTGCTTCCTGCATATCTCTTGCTGCCAGAAATTTACTTTTCATTGCCTTTCCCCTAATAAAAATTTGGTGATAATCTGCTTTTTGTAAACATTCAGAAACGTCAGAACATTGCAAGCTTCAGAAATGCAGGGTTGAGGCTGGGTAAGGGCCTGAGATTAATCCCTTCCTGGATGGCAAGATTCTCAGCAGAGAGCAGGCCCTGGGGACTGTCCCCTCTCCACACCAGAGGGACAGAGGGAGGACTTGGGGCAGATTGAAAAGATAAACAAAGTCACAGGACACCTGAGGGGAGGCATGCAAAACTCGTACAGCTTTTGGCTCACCAGCTGACCTTTTCCTCTACTTTAGTTGCTGTTTGTTCAGACTAATTGGTGGACACTGGTTGTATCCAGAAGACTTGATGCCAGTTTCCAGGGCCTTCAGATATGGAAACTGCCCAACAGCCTCTACCATGCTGGTGTATGGGGCAGATAAGTGGCGAGGTCTGGGCCCCAGACTCAGGAGTCTGCCTGCAGAGTGTCAGGGGAGGGTGAGTTCAAGCTCCAACAGCAGCCAGACGTCCCCCACAACCCCGGCAGGATGAACCCCAACACAGCTCCAGCTCGACCTGCCAGGACCATGGGCCTGCTGGGAGGCAGGGACCCGCCGGGCACTGGGGAAGGAGACTGGCTGTCCTTGGTGGCCAGGGCCCCTGGATGGTAAACGTGTTCTCCAGGGAGCAGCCAGCTGCCTGAATGTGCGGCCTGCGCTGTTGCTGTGGGTTAAGTCTGCTTGGGACTTGTGTTGGTTTAATGGCTCATTAAGGGGTTGCAGCCCATACTTTTTAAACAAAGTAACTTACTAGACATGGCCTAGTGTGGATATGATCATGTCAGTTCCATTGTCAGCAGCCTGACTTCCTGGAGTTGAGACCTGTTGGGGTTCTATTGCCTCAGTAAGGATTCTGGCTTATGTTTTCATCCCCTCCACTGGGTTGGCCACTGGGTACAGGGTCAGGGTGCCCTAGACCCCATTGCTGTCCCCCGCAGCCACAAGCAGGGGCTGGCCAGTGGTTGATGTGAGATCTGGAATGGAACCCTGTTAGGGGGAATCTTCTCTCCCAGCGGCTCTCAGCTCTCCCTTGGGGCGCTGCTCCCCGCCCCCCTCAGCCGTGCTTTCTGGGAGTGACTCCACTCTTACTGGTGAAGGGGTGAAGGGGCAGAGTGCCCTCACAAGGAGGATAAGGGGTAGACTGGGCTAGACTCTGTCCCACAGAGTCGGAAAATCATATCACGTGGAGGAGGGGCTGAGCAGCCCTATAAGACCCTGCAGGGAAAATCAAGACCCCACTCAACACCTTAGCCATAGAGCACACAATGAATGTTTTCTGAGGAATAACTAATGCGTGGAAGCCATTGTTGTACCAGTCTGCATTGTTCTGAAATGGACCAGGTTATCAGGAACTCTGGAGAGAGACCGAGAATCCCATCAACTAAACATTTTCTAATGCCAGGCACTTTACAAATATTGTCTCATGAAGGCCTAGCATACATGATTGACCTGAACCCAGAGTCTGGTCTCATTCACCGGACTGGCCGCAGGAAGCAATGAGGTTCCTACTAGAAGCTGCATTCAATTAACAGCTGAGCACACATCTGGAGTGGATTTGATGCAAGCATTTGAGTATCACATAGAGTGTTTGTCTTGGCCTGGGTGCCCATCCCCTTAGCCCAGAAAGCAGAGCCCGAGTTGGGGCCTTTGCAGTGAGGGCTTTTGTTCCCAAGAGGCTGGGGGCAGGGGAGTGGGGCTGGGAAGGAGAGGGAGCCAGAACCAGTGTGCTCTGTTGATGGGGTCCCCATTATGGGCAGCTGGAACTGGAACCCTGAACCTTCCCAGACCACTGGAGAATTATCCACCAGAGCTTGAAGGAGAGAAGCCTTCACCCTTGGTCCTGTCATCTGGGGTCGCCCCTTGGGGCATTCACTCCCCTGCACTTGTGGGTGGTAATGTGGGAATCCCACAGGTATCCCCTAGGGCATGGCCAGGTGAGGCTTGTCCAGAACTGTGTGCCATGGGCCTGGCTGGAACCAGAGTATGAGAAGGGCTGAGCAGGAGGCAAGAGGAGGCTGACATGAGATTGGAAAAGCAGAAGGAAACTTAACGTAGGGCCTCCAACTGCCACCATCAATGAGCACATGTGGATGATTCTGGAGTGATTTCAGCCATCTGCTCTCCAGGTTCTGGATAACTCACAGGTGGGTGGCAGGTGCCTGTGGGAGGTGTGTGCACAGCACGGGTGTTAGTGCTTGAGCACCCTGAGTGTGCGAAAGGCCAGGAAAGGCCAGTTACACGTCCTCCTCCTAAGTTTTAGTAGGAAAATGTCATCTGTAGGAGAAACGGCTTGGTTAAATTCATGGAACCCGGAGAGCAGGAAAGCCAGAGGCTTCAGGATGACTTCAGCCTTTTGAGTGAGGCCTCACAAAAAGTGGCTAATGTCAATGACAAAGCCAGGGGGCTGCTGGGAGCCTGGCCCGGGTGTTAGCCAGGAGCCTCCCTCAGCCTGCCTCAGCACCTGTCCCCGGCAGCTCGTGTAGGTGAGGGCCGCATGGGATCTGACACCCACTGCATCCTTTACAGCTAGACCAAAGCACGGGTGCTCTTGCAATGTTCTTTTATCCACTGCCATCCCGTCTCATGGGAGAGGCCATATTCACGGTGGCCAGGCATGTGGGGGCCACGCTGGGACTGTTTCTGGGCTGGGCCACTTCTTGGCCGAGTGGCCCTGGGCCATGGACACAGTCTGAGCCACTGTGCCTGTGTGAGCATCCGTTTCTCATACAGCCCAGGCTGTAGCCTTAGGCTCGGAGTGCCCAAAAGGGCCAATGCCTACCCCACACACCTGCTGTGCCTCCTGGGTGTCCCACACCAGGGTCCAGCCCCAGGAACTGAAGACCCCACCCTGCACCTGCTCACCCACTATTTGCAGACCATTCCACCTGCACAAGCCCCCCCCTGCAGAGCCTCTGAGCACCTCATCCTAACCCTCATCCTCAGTTCAGCTCGCGGCCTGTGGGCCACGGGGCACACCTTCCTCTGGGTCTCCTGCTTCCTGCCCTTGTGCCACGTGGCCCCTTCCCACCCTGAAGCTAATTCCTACTTGTCCTTCAAAGCTGAGAGTGGTGTCACCTCTCTGTGTCCTTCTTCAGTGCCCCGTGGCCCCTGAATAGATAGCACCATCGTAACACATCACAGAGCCCTTCTTTCATTTCTGGGGACTGTTGGCTCCTGGGGAA